TTTCGTTCTATCACAGTTTCAACACGTCCAGGTTACACCATATCCTGTATTGTTTCACACCGGCAGTAGCGCGTGTACACGAGGAGCCTTAAGCGGTGAATTTTGACTTAATTATCCAGGTTTGACCATGCGACGATCGAAGAACCAGCGTATGCGCGATGTCGAATTCTATTTGACTTTCGTGCGCCGATAGAAAGCACGATCGCGCGAGTAATTTGCACGCACAGTTAGACGCTCCTTTGAGAGTTCATCGAGTTGGCACATGACACCTCCCTCGACACGCGTAGAAACGCATTTCCGCCTTTCTAAGCGAATGCAAATTAAGCGAACGCGATTAAACATCAATGGACGTGGTCCAACGACAAGCGATAGCTATCTACGAATTCTTTTGCAGCGTGGGAAATTTTTCTAGACTAGCTGAACGCATTAGTCACCGTTGATTCTTTGTGAAATAGTCAGACAACTATTGTATAATAAAAGAGCTTGTTGGAATGAAAGATTTTTAGTAGTGAAATATTTACTACATACAGGGACCCACGAAAGTATTTGAAAACTTGCAGGAAGTTTCAGCAAATTTGAAACGAACTTGAAATTTATTTCGAGCTATATTGAGCAAAATGGAAGTTGATAATGAAAATTTAAGATACTTATTGAATGCAGCAAGAAGAGTGTAAGTATATTTAAAGAAGTTTCGTCTGAATGAAGCTGATGTAATAAAAAAAATGCGGTTTTATACATATATAAAACCAAGTGAAGACGGTGGCATAGTGGCTCTCCACTATAGTGCACAATTAAAAATAAACGACCGACCGAGGGATTTCGCTAAGAATTACGTAATTTAAACGTTTGCTGCGGATGTTACCTCGGTGCCAGTCACTTCGACGTAATCTATCGACATAACGAGACAGTTAATCCTAGTGCAGATATATGTTTTTAAAAACTCATTCTTTTGCGCTAAATTATGAGCAAGAAATTCATATAAATTGAAATTCATTTAGCTATGACTTTTTATAGAATTTTTTCCAATGCCTTGAATTTAAAATTTAACCAAAACTTTGTTATATTACTCGAAACATTTCCCAATATAGGATTAATTAAATAAGAATATAATAAACTATTAATTCTAATTAAAAATTTAACTACAAGTATTTGAGTGAAATTGTACAAATATTTAGATAACATATTCAATTTCTAATGAAAATTTAAGTACAAGTATCTAAATGTGTATTCAGAAGTTAATACCAGGAATTATGTTAAGAATAGGAGATTATAGTTTCTAATAATAGCTTTCTAGGTGTTCCCTAATGTGCATGGCAAATTCATGATTGTTTCATTGTTTCTATTAATAAATAATAGCGCCGGATCAAATACGGAGGCGTGTGAAATTATTCGACGAAGGCATAATTTCAACGCGAATTTCAACCGCATAGAAATCAGAGGGAAAAATGAAATTTTCTCTATGAAAAGTAGGCGTGCGTTAGAAGAGTACTTCGGAGAGGCACAAGGCCTTACTCGGCGAACGAATAATACTTTCACAGAGGCGTTAGAGCAAAGGTCATTCTTCCCCGGCAAATCCAAGACGAGTAACAAAGTTCAAGCATTCACTGTTGACTTCGAGAGAGTGCAATTGCCATAACGTAAAAAAGAAAACATTTACAAATATTATTTATCCTTTCATTTCACGACGAAACCTCCTCGAAGGAATGAACCAACGAATTAAATAAAATCATTTTCTATAGTAACTATGAAACATTGTATGGAATATTGGAAATAAACAGTTTACAAAATAGCACGTGTAATTAATTAACATTGCTAATTTCCCCGATAGTAAGGTCATACGTCCTAAAGAGACATCGTGACACACATTGTGCAGCAAACATAAGCGATGATACTTTCGATAATTTAAATGAACAGTGACATTCAATGCAAATCGTGATATGTGTACAATCATTCCCGAGAGGATGTCGCCGTGAAATTTCCCCTCTGAATACGTAAAACGAAAAATATGAATCGAATCTCGTAAATGGAGTACATAGAATTTGAGGAGGAGTCGTACCTAAAGTTACGTATTGATATGTAAAAATATGTTAAGAAAATTCTATCCCATAAGTCATTTAAAACTGATAAAATTCATGAATTTAAATAATGGTTAAATTTTTGTTCATTCTGTGCAACTAAAAAAATATTAGATTTTATCTGTAGTGACTACAAAAAGTATTGGCACGGTATTGTATTTATTATAGCATTTGTATATCAAATTAGAACCAATTTCATGTCATTTCATAATACTTGGTTTAATATGGCTACAAAAATTTGATATTGTGTAAATGTAAAATCTGATCAAGATGACGCTTGATTTGAAAATAAAGATATATAATAATATTTTCCATAACCGCTATATATGTGTGTGTGT